CAGGTAGCTGGGTGTACCAGTTGAGCGCGGCCCCTTTGAGTGAGGTTGGAAGAACCCTACACAGAATAGCATCGTTATTAGTGTAGAGGTTTACCTGCGTTGTATACAGGTCGATGTGCTCATCCGAGTCCGTCGTGCCGTTGTAACGGTCGAGGTGGAGAGGTTTCCATCCGTGAGGGAGCGGCGTCTCCATGATGCCATCTACGAAAGGGTGACGGCGGAAGGTTGCTTGATCCCCCGTGACATGAGTAGGGGCCTTGCTGAGTTCATGGGCCGACTTGTTCGTCGGTGCATGAGACCGATGCGTGGCAAGTCGTGGAGTCGGTGCCCTAGTCACAGTTCGGGGCTGAGAGACTGAATGCCCTTCTTCCTCGTGGAGGTTGCTCGCCTCAGGAGGATGATCAAAGGGGCGTCGAGGGAGCTGGGCGCGAATCCGCTCATTTTCAGTGCGTAGTGCCGCTAGATCAGCTTCATTGGCGGTCCGCATTGCGGCTAGGTCGGTTTCGTGCTTGGCACGCATGTTTTACAGATCGACATCGTGTTGTTGCCGCATCTGTTCGACCTGTTCGATCAGGCTTACGATGGAAAGAACAAAACCAAACAACAACATTCTTTGTCGGACAGAGAACCAATAACTGCCAATGATTTCTACATTTAGGCACAATTAGTTATACAATAGATACATAAATAGACAAATTAAATGGAGTTGACAAAGATGCACTTACTAATCAACGTAAGGAGCAAAGTAAATTTGCTTGGGTGAATTTTGTAACCTTTCAATGATATAATTTTGAGACTCCGCTTTTTTATTCCCATATTTTTGAATTGATTGGGGCTCAAGAAATCCATACAAGTCACCATGATTGAGTTCTTCAATTTTACGATTCAAATATCTAAAATACATACAAAAGAAAAAATTAATAGTGAAGGAAATCATAATTAAATAGATAATGACACTAACAATTGTGTACTTACAACATCCATAATTGTATAATTGAGATGTTAAGCATTGCTTGACGTTGTAATAATTCATATATATCTTGAAATGAAATATACAACGTAAAATCATCATCGTTGATCCCAAATAGACTTGCATGACATATCACCTGAAATTGGAAACTTGGGTAAGTAGCAAACTTAAAATATAAATATATTAAATAGTCTTTATATTAGTTATTTTGAATAATGCTGACTTTTGGCTAGAAAATGGCCATCCTAGGATGGATAAACCATGACCAGCTGAAAAAGTGACAGAAAACATGTGGGTTGAATATTGAGGGATGTGGGAAACCAGGTTTCATATAAGCTAAGTAGTTTCCTGTTCTAATCCTCAAATGGTTCAAGAGAAGATATGTCGACATTGTCAAGTCATAAAATCAACTCTAAAAATAGCTAACCGATAAAAGAAAAAAAGGAGGGGCCAGAATCCAATTGTCACATACCACTACCCTCAGCAATTTGGCAGCAAATTTGACTGCTATCCACACACCACTATGAGTTCCCTGTAGCAGCCAACAAGCACAACATTCATTATCAATCTGAATTTTGAATTCTCGATGGCAAATGCTTCATGTCAGATTTAATACTTTCTAAATTCATTGCAGCCTAGTTGGATTTCCAGAGATAGAGAACATTATTTTTGAATCAAATTTTCTTATGACTTTCAATGAGAAAATGACAACATTTTTTTATCCATAATACTTTATTAACACTTTCTTTCTTTAAACTAAGTTATTAGCATTAAACATATCTCCTGAAAAGTTAATTAATATGTTAATTTCTTAATAAAATATGATATCACACATGATTAATCTATTTTTAGATAAGTAAGTCTCTCAACTTGCTTCCTTTTTGTTGATTGATATCATAGATATTTTATATATTAGAGTTATTTTTTTATATATGAATTAATATTTAGTTCTTTTTATTTAAATTATTCAATTTCATCTTTTATTTTAAAAATACCTAATATTATTTTTCAATTTAAAATCGACACCAATGATGTTAAGCAAGATGACGGTAACATGTGAAAATGGACATGTACAGTATAGGATTATCCTACAACCATTAGGACCAAATTAAATAATTTAGACAAAAAGGCACACCAAACCCATTTTTAAAAAAAATAGAAATTGTCCAGAAGCAGTGAACTACAACGAAATAAGAAACATGATTAGATATTCCAACATAAATCATGTCGCCCTGCATAAAAACAGTGACTATAGTTGTCATGTGACAAGACAAAAAGGCTTCCACGAGTCCAATTCGGCAACAAGTAAATCTTTCAAAGAGATTAGATTACAGTGATGGATTTATTTGATGCTTTCAATTTCATCATCTGCTACAATTTACCACCCATCACAACGCAAAGGACTTTGACAATACGGGACTCCTATTTGTAATTCAGTAGTTGTCTTCTCATTGTCTTTATTTTTATTTTCTGGTTGAAAAAATTAAAAATTAAAAACACTCAACTAATCTCTTTTAAATGCCTCCTAGATACTATGAACAAAATAACGATTGTAAAATATCTGAACATACATATGATCAAACAAGATTTTAAAACCATTACTCATTTACACTAGATACTTTCATTTCTGTTTTGTTCTAATCATTTTTGTTTCTCAGATTGGAAAGAGAACTACAACAGCCAAAACTTGTTATTGGGAACTTCATGCAACAACCAAAACATGAACCACAACCAACAACAACAACAGCCAAAGCTTAAAAACTTCCTAGTGTCGGTGGAGAGAGTTCTTCAGATAATAAACAACCACTAACCACAGTTGCACTTGATACCACAGAAACTGGAGCCATTGAAACTGCACCCAGAAAATCCATTGACACGTTTCTATATATATACTGTGGTGTAACAAGCTATTTTATTAATTTAAGGAATAATGACTTTCTTATCCTCCCAACAAACATTACATTCTGTTATACATGGAAAGAAAAAAAATTCTAATCTATCAACAAATATCTATCACCATTTAATTTAAACATTACTCAAAAATGTTAATAAGTATCAACCATTGCAAGTCACCCGGAAATTTGCATTCAATCCAGGTTTCCATGCATCAAAATTGCTATAAATACTCATTTCATTGCATCGTATGTGTCTCTATGCTAGATATAACAATCAGCAGTTCAGCACCAAAAATGTTAAACCACTGATTGAGCTCTTATAAAAGTTAATATAGGTGTTGAACAAGACAATAATACTTCAAATAGTTAACTATGCCTTTTATATCAAATTCAAGTACTAAATGCAAGTTGCAGAGCTTGCCAAAGATAAATGGGAAATTTTATGTATTACTACCAAACATGGAAAATAATTTGAAAGTAATGTACCTTCAATACAGAAAGATATGCATCTGAAAGGTTAGTATATTTTCCCACCATCGCAATTCTAACCTGTCAAGAACAAAATAGTTGTGAGCTCAGTACTTTCTACTATTCAGAGAGTTAATATTGAAACTCACATAATGATGAAATATATTAGATTTTTTAGATGATATATCAGAAATATTGAAACTCACTGATTCATGAAATTTTTCATATACTTTTGTTGTTGCAATTCAATCCTTAAAATTAGGCTCTGCAGCAACACTGCAAGTAACAGGACCATAACCATTAGTGCAATGACAGAACCACTTTATGTTACTGTCATACCATAACTAACAATAAACTCTCAGAACATCACTACATCATCACATTAGGATGATATAGTTGTACACCAAAACAAGAATGAGTTTGTCAAACAAACCCTCGCAGGTTTAATGTTTTCAGGATTGCCTTATGCGCCTTCTGGTCCTAATGGTAACAGAATAATTTCAAAAGAAAAAAAATGGTTATTATATGAAATCACATCACTTAATGAAAAATAATACAATTCAACTGTCCAGGCAAAAGGATACTAAAAGTCCAAAACACGAGCTAAACAATTTAAAACTTCATAAACAAGGTTCCAGTAATGCTAAGACTACCACAAAAAGAAGATTCATAAAATACCACAGAATTACTTACACTTAACAGCAAAGGAATGTGCCAAATATTTGGAACATCATAGAGAGTAAGTATGCTTGATGACTGCAGATGAAAAAGTTTCTCTTGAGAATATATGCAAGGCTAAATATATAAGCAAGGTGAAAATTATCAACATTTATATCATATTACCGGAACATGACAAAATTGAGAAAGTTTTTCCTTAACATTATCAGCAAGTTCCAGCAAAGGACAAAACCAAAATCTTTAATCATTATTACATGGAACCAAAAAGATGCAAAGAAAAAGTAGAAAAGCAATAAACAAACCTTTGAACTACGACACGCAAGAAGATTTGGGGTCAACCCTAACCCTCTAAGTTGGCGGACACTGTGTTGAGTTGGCTTTGTTTTCTACATATTAAAACATCCAATAAATAAACGATAATAAGCCTATTTGGCTTTGAAAACATGAAATAAGAGGGAAGGGGGTTGAGAAAAAAAAAATCCTACGGGTCTTACAAAAATAACTCTTAAAAATACTTTTATTCAATAATAATTATAAAAATAATCTCATTTAAGAATAGTTTAAAAAAATATTTAAAAATAGAGCCGTGGTGAGTACAGAAGAAAAAATGGCAAACAAACCATTTCTTTAAAAATATATTTGATATAATATCTGTATCAAAATGGCGTTGAATAAAAGAAAAAAATGTTTAAAGATCATGTGGCATATTAATTACTTGACAGATTTATTTATTGTTGTATAAATGACCTTTGAATACCTACCAAAGATTGGTAAAAGACAGAGATACTACTTCTCCTTAGGCATAGCTTCCGACTAAAATTAATATAAATTGTTCAGATAAGTTCTATCTAAAAAATTGCTGTAGAATTTTGTTGATGCATACAAGGATTCACCAAGTTCAGCTACCATAAGATAATTGAACTACTTTATTTCATTATAGTATTTGTGTTCCATTTAGATATTGGTTGGCTTCATTGGATACGGAATGCAAAAGATGAACAATTCAAAATCACAGGGAAATCTTCGCGAGTGAGGCCCACGATTCATAAATGAGATGTTGTGCAACACTGTCACATATCCAGATATCCTAAACGGATGAGATACGGGCCACTCTAATATTTCGGGTGCAAAATTAAATTGGGCCCAAGTCTCGTTCTATATATGGGACTAGTGGTCTCCAACATCTTTGTACTTCCTTCCTCTTTAATTTCCTACCTAAAAATACGAGTCTATCAATTCTTCTCATGCTTTACTTTCAGATATCTTATGATAGGAAAGTTTAAAAGTGACTTTATGACCTCCTATATTTTTTTAAAACTTAAGGTTTATATCTATGATTTATAAACTTTATATTTATAAAAATAAATAAAAGGGACTAAAAAAAATAATATTGTTAACAACTAAAATGAAACTATACCTTTTAAGTCTCTAATTGATCGAGCAACTCCTCATTTGATTAAACATATCTCCAGTTGACCGAGTAGGTCAAATAAAGGTCCTTCAAGCTATTAACAAATGAGTATGAAGGGTATTGTACCCTCTAGATCGTCATCTGATCGAAAATGTCAAATTTCAAGATTACTCACGAATTTCTTATCGAATTAACTCCTTTAGAATTAATCAAGATTGTAATTTCCACGATTCTTGTACAAACTTAAGTACAATTATAAATATAGATCATAGACTTATTATAAGGATAAGATTCATATGTATTTTAAGGGGTTGAGATTGTTGAAAACAAACTCATATCCTTAATATGACACTCATATATATATATATAGAGAGAGAGAGAAAAAGAAAGGATTTTACAAAGAGGTAGATTATATTCATTTGAATATTTTAGGTCAAAATGATAATTAAATTCTCTTATAATTCACATTACTAAAGATTTTCCAACTGTTATCCTTTTACTGAAATGAAAATATTTTTAGTTATAAAAATTAAAAGATAAAATTAATAAAATTATAGAGATAAAAAAGTAATTAAACTTAAACTTTACTATTTTAAATCTTTATTATATGACCTAAGTTTTTAAGTTGATTTTTTATTTTTTTCTTTTTTATAAAATCTATTACATTTCAAACATTAATTTCTTTTAAAAAAAACATTTTATAATATTTGAGATCAATAAATAAATAAAATTTATTTAATTTATATCTCTTAAAATATAAATAGTCTCTCTCTCTCTTTTTTTAAGGCCAGCCCCTTTCTTTTTAAAGGGAGAGACAAAACCTTTAAAAATATCTTATTAATTTAAGTGTAGTTTTGGAAAAAGATTTTTGTAATGTATTAATTGATGTAGTAAAATCTTAATTTTTCTTAATATTAAAGATTTTTTTTTATCTTATAAAAATTAGTATCAAAGGTAGTATTTTAAAACGTATCAAAATAATTTATTTAAATCTTATTTAACATGTTTCTATATTGGATTCCTTATATAAACATTTACACTATAAAAATATTAAATGAATTAAGTAACATACACAAACAAAAGAGAGAAAGAGTATATAAAATCGCATCAAATAACAACTAAAAGTACAATGAATTTCACTGCGAAAGAGGTGGAAAAGGGTCAAAGCAGGTCTGCTCGGGGGTGGATGAAGTAAAGTAACTGCCAATTGCTAAAACAAAGGACCAACATTTTTTAGCACATGCTGTGTTTGCCCTTTTTCTCTTATATTTATATAATAAGATATCGTAAGATTTACATATGTAAACATTGTTTAGGGAGCCACGTGTGGGGTTCACAGTTCACACCATTGCTGACTGTTACAATAATAATAACCTTCTTCCTTTCCTTGCTCCTTAGTTTAGTTCCTTTGTGTTAGTATTAGTGTCAGTGTTAGTGTTACACCTCAGTTTAGTTCCTGTGAAGAGAGGTGAGAAAAAACAACGAAATGGAGAACAAGAGTAAAAATGGTGGGAAGGGAGAGATTGTGGATGGTTCCAAGATTATGGAGTTAGTTGGAAATGAGCAAGTTTTCAGCAACTTCGTGGACCATAAGTTTGATGAGTTGGATAAGGACAGAGATGGGAAACTCTCCATGAAGGAACTTGAACCTGCTGTTGCCGACATCGGTGCTGGTCTTGGTTTGCCTGCTCAAGGCACTAGTCCTGATTCTGATCACATCTATTTTGAGGTTCTATTTTTCTTTTTCTTGCCCAATAATCTCCACTCTCTTTTTTGGCTTCAATGTTTTTTAATTTGTCTTGTTCTCAAAATATCTTGGATTGGAATCTTAGCAATGTTGGGTGGGGGGTTAAACTTGAAAGAAAATATACATGGCTTTATTTGAAAGAAATTGCTATTGAACTAACTAGTCTTTGTCAGTTGTTTATAATTCTCCCTTAGAAAATAAGCGATAAGACTCAAATCAGTTTCTACAAAGTGTCAAACCGACTTGCTACCAAGATTGATGTTATAAGGGGCTACTTAGCTTTTGACTTTTGCATTGGCTTAAGCTTTGGCAGTATGCTTATTATTTTAATCCTTTCCATGACAATATTATCATGACTAAAAAATAGTTAACTTATCGTCAATAAAATACTCATTACCGTCATCTGATTTGTTTCGGTTCCCATGTCTTTTGGTTTCCATTTGTTAATTTTTTTTCTTTCTGTATATGTAGCTCCTTTGCAGACTCTATAGTCTATAGCTGTTTAATGCTTTAGATGTTGATGAAGAAACAGTCTATGTCTGAACTTGGGATAAAAAAAAAAAAATTAAATGGCAATATGCTTTTTAGCATTATTGTTAGTATGATGCTTGCTTTCAAGAACAAGTTCTCAAAATTTTGACTTCTAGCTGGTCCCAGAAGTATCATAATCCATCATCCATGTTACCTTGGTCGGTCCTGTGGAAATCTGCCTTGTCTGTTGCAATTACTTGGCCTGCTCCATTTTGCTTTTTATTATCTCCCAGGAGGCAGAAAAGGGTGACGTATATGGTGGAATAAACAAAGTCTAGCTGGCAATTTTAACCGCTAATGTATGTTAAGTTATTGATGGCCCGTGCTTTTTAATCTTTAAAGTTTAATCCATACTTGATACCAGACCCTACTGCTGAAGAACTAGAAAACTCATAGTTTATACTAGACTTAAGAGTAGCAAAAAGTTAATCTATTATTATAGTTAATGATGAAATCCTGGGACCCAAACTGCTAGTGCTCCATCTGTGGACAAGTAAAGATGTTCCTTTAATGGCATGCTTTGGAAGAAAGCAAATCTCTTTACCTAATTATGTGCTAAATATGGGAAAACAATAAATGCTAAAAAAAATTTAGAGTACAAGACACCTTAACCACAAGAAAGAAACAGAAGCAATATGATTCTAATTTCTAAATTAATGACGTGTTAGCATACAATGAGGATTTATCGGAGGGCTTTTCCCTTTAGTTATTTTCCTTTTAGTCTGTTTGTTATGAAATATGAAGTACTATTATCATGGATCCATTTTGGTGTTACATAGGATCAATATAGTGTTTGTGGGGTATAGGTATTTGTCTATTTGAGGTAAACCAAGATGTCTAACTTCATTCATTATATTTCTCTGATAAAGAATTTGATTTGTCATTATTTTTCAATAGAAGTCTTCAAGTTTTTTTTTATAATTTCTGCATGTACTATCTGATTTCCATACATTAATTTGCATTGATAATGGAACAAGAGGAAAATTTTCTATTGACTTGTCCTATAGGTCTTGAATGAGTTCACCCATGGCAAGCAAGAAAAAGTGAGCAAGACTGAGTTCAAAGAGGTTCTCTCAGACATTCTTTTGGGCATGGCTGCTGGACTGAAGCGAGACCCTATTGTTATACTCCGCATTGATGGGGAAGATTTCCTTGAGTTTGTTAATGGTCCAAGCTATGAAGCTGAAATGACATCCATTTTCTCTCAGATTGAGTCGCCAAGTGGGTCACTTCACGAACATGTAATTGAAGCTTTTGGGAGACTGTCTGTTGATCAAGGAATTCCTCCCACCTCAGATTCTTGGGTAAACGAATAATGCAACTATTGTGTCCTTGAAAGATGTTTTTCTACCTATCTAAGTACTTGTTTTTTAAACTAGAACTTTCTGTGATCAAAGCATGGTTAAAGGAAATATGTGGCTTATCTTTTTTTTTTTTTTCATCAAGGTTTTCAACAACATTGTGGATCCAGCACTGTCTCAAGCTGGCCCTACTTTGGACAAGCCTGTGGCTCAAGAGACATTTTTGGAAGAATTTAAGAAAGTGGCATTGAATGTAGTTGAATTTCTTAAAGAGAAACCCGTCATTGTTGCCCACAGTGAAAACACATTTGATGGACGCGGCATCAAGAGACTTTTATCCAACAAGTTTGAACTAGACAGGGTTTATTTTTATTGTCATTTATTGCACTTTCATTCTTGTTTTGAATTTACTTTGTTCAAACTTCCATATATGAAATTCACCTATCTATCGCGTGATGCAGACATTGAACTTAGCTTTAGACAATCTGCCAAAAGATCACAATGGAAAAATATCAAAGGACTATTTGCGGGTGGCACTAGATCTGGTGTCCCCATCTGCTGGTTTACCTCCAGTTGGTGCAATTGAAGAGGTATGTTGCCAATGCGAACAGACAAAATCAATCCATCCACATTCCAACTTACTTTGGATTCATTCATCTATTTGTCAATTGCTTTCGCTCATTGAATTTTTATGCTGCTGGACAGTGATTTTGGTAAAAAAGAACTAAACTAGGCAGAAAATATAGGAGAGATTGTCACATGTAATATTGAAGTGTTCTTACTTAGTACCATCATTTATAAGTGATCCTGGAGCAATTTGTTTCATGATACTCACTAGAAGCTCAAAAATCACTATTGGCTTGAGTCAATGCTACTGCGAAAGTTTATAGTAGAGTATAAATTATATTCTATTGAAGTGTTATTAGTACTATTGTTTATAAACCGGTGCTGGTACAATTTATGTTATGATACTCAATATAAGCTCAAAAATCTTAGTTGGCATGGATCAGTGCTACTTCTAGTGTTTAAGTTCTTAAGGTCATCACTCTGCCAGCAATGCATAGCATGAGATACAATGATGTATTACAGTTTATGTTCATTGCCTTTTCCAGAGCCAGAGATTAAAACGCCACGTGTTTGATTTTACAGATGGATAAGATTATTAGTGAAGCCTTTAAGATGGTGAATGCGGATGACACAAAGACGGTTAAAGAAGACGAATTCAAGAAAATTTTAACTGAAATACTGGGGAGTATCATGTTGCAGTTAGAGGGCAATCCCATATCTGTTTCTTCAAATTCAGTTGTGCATGAGCCTTTAGGCTCATCTTCTATACTCTTGCAGCCATCTTCTAGTGAAACAGCATAATTGTCTCATGTTTAAGACCGGCCAAAAACTAAATACAATAAAAAAAATTTATTGATGCAATTTGTTACAGACATAGTTTGTCTTTTGAGAAGTAACTTCCACTTTGTATGCAGTTGGATTATTTATAAATTTGAAAAATTATAGAATGCCATGGAAAGGAAAAAAATCAAACTGTTAATTACCCTTGTTGGGACGTGTTGATTACTTCAGTTGTAATGTAGACAGATATATAGGCCGTTGATGGCAACATAAAAAAACAGAATTAATATTGTAATATGACATACCTTTTTCAAATCACAGTCTTCGAAAGTATAGTATAAGTAGTAGCATTTGGACGATTGTTGAATGAATAAGGAGCAAAGGAAAAGTTGTAAATTCAAATCAATATGGATTCTGTTAGGCATACACCATGTTTTCTTGGATCTTTTGTTGTTTTTGCATGCAATTACAGCGTTCAAGAGGCAGAGCCAAAAATGTTGAAGAAATTTGGGATGTGGCACCAAGCCGGCTAGAGGATATTCCTTGTGCAATTAAATTATTGTTTGACTTGTGCAAAGGCATAATTAGGCATAGTTGCCTCTTCAACATGAATTTGAGAACATGTCAACTGATATTTGGAAAGAAAATCGAACTTGCTTCTTTAATCTCTTTTGTATTTGGATAAAAAAAAAAAATTACTCCACAATTACTCGTGTTTGGTCTTGCCATCTCCATATATGGTAGAAAACAAACTCAGCATTTATGCAAAACCCATTCTTATCGGTTAGGATTGAATCTCAATACTTAATCAAGGACTATTTAGTGACCACTTGTAGCAACGATTTTCTTTTTGAATTAGCTCTTTGTACTAACCAAAATTCAATCATGAATCAATATCGGTGGCAAAAGTCTGTTAAAAAAATTGAGGTGATAAGGGTTGATAATTTAAAAATAAATGATATAACAACTCTCGAGTCTCCACAAGGATGGCGCGGTTAGTGATTTCACAACCTGCAAACTTATGACTCTGTCAGTTTTTTTTATCACTTTCAGCATGATTCAAATACGATGGCTAAAATACGTAACGTATGAAAGCAACTTTGTGTAAAACTTTTAACGGCTCACAAATTATTGAAATTAAAGAAAAAAAGTAATGAAAGGAAATTAATTTTGCAATTGCTTAGGCGCAAACAATCCAATTTTAGTAATTTTCCGGAAAATCAATCTACTGTGAGGCGGTGAAGCTTTGAAGGAAAAAAAAAGGTCAACTTTTAGGGGAAAAATAAAGAGTTTGAGGACCAGCTGTCCCTCCCTAAGGTAGTGATGTTGCATTACATAGTTGTTGGGGGCATGGGAACTGTTGGATATTGTAGCTGCGTATAAATCTATGATATGGATAAGTTTTGGACACAATCAAGGAAACATATCCCTTCTTGTTCTCCACAATTTACCCTGTCACCAAGACGTTATCCAATCCAACAAACATAATATTTCAGTCGATTCATAATAAGTCTCCTTTCTGACTTATTTTACATATATATAAAAAAAACTAATAAATAAATTAATAATTTTATAAAATAAATTTATAATTAATTTTTTATTAAAAAATAAAACACAATAATCAATTTTTGACATAATATTATTAGAATATAATTAAAAAAATATGTAATTAATATTATGTTCAAAAACTAAACATGACACGTTAAATTTATTTTTTTTTTAATGTGACGCGAAGGAGAAACTAATATTTACACTTTGAAACCCAATCAACAAACCATCAGAAACTTTACTTTAAAACTACATCATGGTCTAATAAAAAATGTATATCATGTTTATAGATTCTGTAATATATTTTGAGTTTTTAACATAAACTATGTTTTTTTTATCCTTTTGGAATGCAATGCTTTCTCTGTATTGTACATGGGTACCGCTGGCTCCTCATAAATAGCAGCTATATATGGAAGAAAATTTAAGTATATGCTTTGTGAAACATGATATGTACGCGTAGGTGATACCAAGACCACTAGACAATTCATTTTTTAAAAGAAAAATATATTATTTTTATACCGAAGACGAAATGCAAATTATATTTTTATCTTTTGGAATCCAACAATAATACGCTATTCTAGTCGAGTGCACATTTCAGGTATGTGCTCGACAGAAAGGACTTACACATGGCTGTGTTCTATGAGAACCTGTTCTTAACTGTCCTCGTACAGCATGTTCTTAACGGAAAGAACTGCTAATTATTTTATATTCGTCTAAAGCAGAATGTTATTTGATTTAAAACATACTTTTTATCATAATAATTAATAAATATAATTTTAAAAAATAATCATGTGCTTATTAGTTTAATATATTTAAGTGTATTTTTATAATTTTAAAATATCATTTTAAATTTGTAATAGAAAAAGATGATTATATATCATTAATAAACTAATATATATGATAATGAGTTGCTGAATTGAATAATTGATTATTATAGCAACTGCTCCTTTAATTATTAAAAAATAAAATAATTAATTAATTATTACTTGAAATAATTTATTACTTTAAGTAAAAATTTAATATTTTAATTTTTTATATTATTTTTTATTATTATTCAATTCTAACACATTTTTAAATCATCCATCATCATTTAAATAAAGATAAAAGGTTAATTTACTTACCAAGTACCAAACACACAAATAACAAAACTTAAAATTACACAAAACAAAATATAATTTGTATTTTTATCTATCATGAAACTTAAAACTCAAAACAAAATATAATTTGTACTCTTATCTATCAAGAGACTTATTTGTAATCATCAAAATTAACTAGATCATGTCTTTTATCTTGAGTTTGAGTTTGATCAACAGATGTTGGAGTTGTGTTTTTGTTGTAGCTAGCATTGGAGGTGTTATGGTTGTGCAAAAACTTGTGTATTTTATAGGATACAATCCCAGCCTCATGATATGTACATGCGTATTATTGCTACTGTGGAGTCTATTTCAACTTCTTGTTTGGAGGTGGCCAAGTTTACGGCTACTGGTGGAGTGCCTGGCGTTCAGAAGCAGGCTAGGTGGCAACCACCACTACACGAGCAATTTAAACTTAATTGTGATACTTATCTTACTGCAACAAAGGCGATTCTGGCAATTATCTTCTCTTATGCTGCAAACATTGGTTGTTGTTTGATTTTACATGTTGAGTTGTAAACTACTCACATTGACATATTACACTTGCTTGGAATAAAGGTTTTAGAAGCTTCCTGGTGGAATCTGATTCCACAATCGCAACCTCCTTGTTACAGGAAGGGTGCACATCTTATCATTCATGTTTTCGCTTAGTACAAAGTATTTATTCATTCAAGGTAGCTGGAGGTGATATGTGTTGGTGTCATGCGTTCCGTGAAGGAAATCAAGTAAAAGATAGTTTAGCTAATTTTTGGCTTGTCTCTTATCGAGAATTTACGTGTTTTTTTTTTTTTTTTTTTTTTTTATGTTGTTTTACCGTCTTTTGCTTTAATTGCTATAGCTGATATAGCTTCAAAATTGTACCCTGTGATTATAATTGATTTTCATAAGTAAAAACAAAAACAGGAATTAATTCCATCAAGAAACTTATGAGTAAAATTTGAATACATTAAGCTGTAGAAAATAATTACTTAACTTCCAATCAATATTCGCATAAGGTCTAACAAAAACTATAAAAAAAAAGTCCAAGTGCCTCAGTGCTATCATAATCGATTTCAACACTTATCTGGATTGGCTTTGAAATCAATTGGTCTAGTAAATAACTAAAGAAAATGGGTTGAATTAAAAAAAATTATTAAAAAAAAAACATATAGAAAAAACTTTGTATTATGTAAAAGTAAAATCCATCTCACATAAAACAGTCTCAAGAGAAATGACAGGTCAAGAAAACATGAGACCTTAGCAAGTTTTGGTCAAGAGGATCTATTGTAATTTGTCCAAAATATTATTCTGTAGCTTGTTAGCATGCCTTAGAGTGGAATATTTTGAAATAGTAGCTAAATGCATGATTTGTCTAGTCGTAATAACTGCTGATATTTCCAATGACCCCTTTGTTTAATCCGAGTATTTTAATAAGAAGCAACACATAACGGGTTTCTCTAGATTGATACACTACTTATTAGCAAAGGCACCTAAACCTGCCCATTTTCAGAGCAACAAAAAAATGGTGCTGATTGTGCATCGCGTATATCCTCCTATTCTCAAGTGGATACTCTTAATTGCTCTGTGCACTATATCAGGCAATGCACTTCTCCTTGCTTCTTCTCTTCTGTTCTCATTAGCCTTTTTTTTTTTTTTCTCCTTTGCATATTTTCTTAGTTCTCAACCTTCTCTGCAGATTGCTATGACCCGTTGGATCCAAATGGGAACATTACGGTAACTTTTGACATTTACCAACGTACAGATCATGGATATCTGGTTAGTACAATCACAGGCTTAAACCGCAATATTGATTTTTCAACCACACACTTAGTAGCTTCACAGTTATGCTCAACAAAGTGTACCAAAAATTATCCAGGAGCTTGAGGAATTATTGATAGATAAATTATACAATGAAAATTAAAAATTTCCAATCAACTTGGTCATTGATACACTGTATAGACTATAATAGATTTGGTCTGCAAATTACTCTGAATAAAAGCATTTGGAGTTGAATTTTTTTTTTCCACACTAACTAAATGATCAAGTTCTACTATTTTGTAACATATAATATAAAGTTATGAATCACAACTAGCTTGAATTTTGTGCAGGCAAGGGTGACCCTTGAAAACTACTATCTATATCGTCATATAGACAAACCAGGGTGGAAGCTAGGATGGACATGGGATAACAATGAAGTGATATGGTCAATGAGTGGTGCCATAGCAACTGACAGAGGGAATTGCTCATCTTACAGCGGTTCTCAGATGCCACATTCCTGCAGGAAAGATCCCATCATAGTGGATCTCTCTCCAGATGACTCACAAAACAGGTCAGAACATTGTTGTCGTGGAGGCCTCCTCTCTGCCTCCTCTATTGACCCTTCCAATGCATTCTCTTCATTTGAACTTGAAGTCCGCAACTTGGGAGATAACCCTCTTGGACAAGCACCTAATAGTCTTACATTGATGGCCCCAGGTCCTGGTTATACTTGTAGCCCCTTTCTTGAAACTAATCCTACAGTGTCCTCAGATTTTGGGGGACTGAGACAAGTTCCTGTTCTCAGTAAGTTATGTAATATTTTCTCATACAACAAATGATTCTTCTTTTGTTGTAGCACTCAAAGAAAGTTCCCTCAAATAGAATTAAAGAAGCATGAGACACACACACTCAATCAATTAGATTTAGAAATTATACTATAAATGACTTTTAAAGCAGTTATTACAAAAGTCAACAATTTTATCATTCATGTCAATCTCTAATTAGATGTTTCACACTTTTAGTGTATTGTGTTGATTAATAGCACACATGTAACATTTTGTATTCCAGGAACTTGGAAGTCATCATGTACATACTCCAGTTTCATAGCAAACACATTGCCAGTATGCTGTGTTTCCCTCTCATCATTTTACAATCCCTCCATCACATCTTGCCGTAATTGTAGTTGTGGATGCAGAGAAGCAGATAAAAACACAGCATCTTGCATAAGGTGTATTTTAATTGCTCAAATTTGTGTGATGTGCGCGCGTTACCATTTAAGTGCTCTTTCCATATTCCTTTGTGTGTTTATCTAACCTGCAGGCCTAGCGATCCCTTGACGCGGTCTAGTGAGGACAGCAAAACTGAAATTGTTGAATGCACCGACCACATGTGCCCAGTTCGAGTCCATTGGCATTTCAAGAACAACTATATGAAGCAGTGGAGGGTCAAGCTCACAATTTCTAACTACAATTACAACAGAAACTACTCAAACTGGAACGTGCTGGTTCAACATCCTGGTTTCTCCCAAAACGCAACAACTTACAGCTTCAACAGCTCTAAACTTCCCACTCTTGGGCTCCATGGTACTTTCTTATTATCATTGATGATACACTTCATCTAACAATAATATTTAATCAAAAGCATTACTTCAATAATTCAATTCATACAAAACTAGAATCATTAGATTTATTGTGACTCATCATCATGCTGATTAAGAAATCTTAAATTTACCTACTTATAATAAGTATATGTTTAAATATAGCATAACCCGTTGATGACAAATTGACAATTATATTCGTTGCATTGATAAACTCGTATAGTATACTGAAGTGTTAACAAATAAATTATTACAGATGGGGTTTCGCTTTTTTGGGGGATAGATTATTACAACAGTGAGCTATTGCATTCTGATAAGGATGGAGTGGGTCTTGTGACAACAGAAATACTATTGGATAAAGATCCAAATTCTTTCACAGTACGTAATGGATGGCCATTTCCGAGAAGAATATATTTCAACGGGGAGAACTGTGAAATGCCTTTACCTGACACGTTTCCTATGTTACCAAATGGTAGCTCAAGTTTACGACCAACTTACTGTGTTTTCAGTCTTTCATTGATCCTTTTGTTTCTTGCCCTACTACTCCTTTGATTCTGAACATATATACCTCAATTTTGATGCTTTTGAAGAATCCTCTGTATTTTCTTGTAATATATTTATCATTGTGAAAATTGTAGTTGGAACTGTATGGGTTGGAAAGGAAGTTATTATGGCTTTCCATGTACAACAATTAGTTATTCGTTATCAGAAATGTTTGTAACCATTTTTCTAGTACACTTTCTTTTCTTTTATGGGAAAAAATTTATTTTGTAACTCTCACTTTTTATTAAAATATAGAATCATACTTTTATTCAATAAGTTTTAGCTAACAATAAAAAAAAATATTTTTATTCTTTTAGACTTTTATCAAATGGAAGCCAGACACATTTCTTTAGTATTACTCTCCCCATTCTATAATGATTGCACTTTTAGTATTTAGAAAATATTTTAAATAAATGATGTTCTCATTTTTTAATATAATATTTTTTTAATAATTTATTTCTTTATAAATTATTCAACCACCATAATTTAAAGTAATATATATTTATTAAGAAAATGAATTATTTTAGTTAATTTATATATAAAAAGTGATACAATTATTATGTCATTAATATGTATGTAAAAATCTTAATTTATAATCAATATGAGACAAAAAATAGTATAAAGATGAGTTTAATGATCATAAGCGATTGGTGTGAAAAATTTTACACTTGCATTACTATAAAGATACATAATATCATTTTGAAAAAATTATTTGTCTCGACTCCTTCTAAATTTTCTCTTACGTTATTTTTTTTTTATTTTACCAAAATACTATGAATTAATTTAAATCTTTAGTCAATATATAATATTTTTTGTAATTAATTTTGTTTTCAATATAGTGCAGATTCATTGTCACATACTATTTGGTAATTAATTATTATTGAAAAATGTTCCTAACAATCATATACGTATTCTTTTTGTAATTAATTAATGTCATTTTTTTTAACAAATTTAATTAATAATAGAATGCATGTTAAAAGAGGTGCACTAACGGCCTAACACTATTCTCTCCCATATTCTTTCTAAATTCCTAGTGAAATATAGTGTCATTGAAATGAATGCAGTCTAAATAACTCATAAATTGTTCTCAAAGAGATAATAGAATGGATAAGAGTGAAAACGATAAAAAGAAATTGGAAGCTGTGTTACCTCGTTTTGTAAAAAGTTGAAGATGTAAATAACTTTGAAAAGAATGTGCACATACCTACTAACATGTGACAAAATACACACGGAGATATGAAATATTTATTTATGCTAATATATAGTAAATGCTTTAAAAATCATATTAAAACTAATTCTTAATTAACCTACAATAGTATATAAAAAAAATATCATTCTTTGCATACATTCTGAAATATGTATATTCTTCTATATTGTACTTTAACTTTATTTTTTTAATTTCATGAAGTTTAGATGTGGAGACAAAACTTTAACAAGTAAATGTCAATTTAGTTGTCATATAATATATAATAATTACACATTAATTCAATTAAAAAAATTGCAACTTAAGTCCAGCAATTCAAATTATAATCATATCATAATAACAATTTTAATTAAAATACTTGCTCTCATAAATAACAACTATATTCGAACAACAAATATTAGACACTATGAATTCAATTCAAGTATTAAATAATAAATTTTCTCTTCCAGTGGTGCAAAGTGAATTTTAAAACAAATAAAAAATATAATTTAAAGAGTTATATAATTTCAATTAACTTATAAATTAAAATTAATATTAGTTAATCTAATAATATCAATAACTATAAGAAAACCTTTTAAACATCAATTTAGTTGACACTTAAATTAGAATTATATAATAAGGATAATTGATAAATAGTAATTGTATAATATTCTTCCTATTATTATCTAATTAAATTCATGTGTGAGGTTTCAAACAAATTCAACCAACTATATATAATTATACCTTTTTTTAGTCTTTTGTTTTCTTAAAAATAATTCATAACAGTTAAATGAATACTCCAACCTCACAAGCATAAATGAATTCTAATAGGTAAATATATTCATTCAAATGAAATTAACAATTACAAAAGCTTATAATAATTAACAATTAAATTAGTAACAATTGATGTCATCAATTTAAAACTTCATAACTATCAGAAATTATATTTAAATACTTGGTATTACAATAATGTGCGAGTTCAACCCTATATCAAATCAAATTTGCTTTCCTACCATCTAAGATTAACATACATGTTTTTCAATTGCAAATGTAACATTACAGGCGTAATTAAAAGATAATTGCAATTGAAATTCACATTTTAAGCTCACTAGTATCACTTAGTCAAACAACTCATTAATTGTGAAAAGTTTATCTCTAATTATTTATTGTAATTCAACAAGAACAATCATTGAAATTCATCACATACCAACACCCTGAATAACAATATTCACAATAAAATTCGAATAAGATAAGATAACAATGGGTAATAATTGAAATTAAAATTAATATAATAAACACTCATTAATTAATTTAGAATATATGTAGTTAACAAAAATACATAATAGCTAAAATTTAATCACTACGTATAAATTGGAGATATGATTGAAATAATCAATTAATCATCTAACATGAATTACCGACAACATCAATGCAATTAACAATTCAAAATAACCCAACACCCATTCACCTTAATCCAAAGACGTCACAACAACCCATTAAGAATTAACAAAAGTCATAAAACGTATAAAATAAGCCTCAATATCAAATGTAAGAAAAATATATCAAATCAATTACACTTTATATAAATCTAAAGCACCAATAAATAATACACTTTATAAGAATATTGTTAAAAAAGTGATTGAGTATACTCCTATGAATTATGTATACATTGTTAAAATTTTTACAATGAAGTAGTCAAATCTTCCTTTATCTAATCACACGTTTCAATATTTTAGGATCTTTAATGGAATAAACCTAAAGAACAATTATTTGTTATTATAACGACAAATGAGACCTAACCATACTATTTAATTAACCCTAAAAATCTATCATTACAAGCCTTGAAATTAAACTTATATTATTTCCTACATAAATCAAAATTAGATATCCAAAATCCATATATTTAATTACATTATTAATAGATTTAGTATCATTGGATGGATATAGTCCGTTTTTGACAAAACAAAATTTTGCACATAAAAGTTTATAGGAAACTTTCACGTACTTATTTAATCAATTATTCCGAAGAAGTTTTATCTTTCAACTTCTCTTTGTATTCTTCTTTCTCCACACTCAGGTTGACATCCAGCCATTCCAACTGGTCTGAAGCTTGTCCTTACCACATATGATTTTTCATGTTGTACGTGTATGTTTCCATAACGTCCATTTTCAATTGTAGTGGTGTTCTTCTCAGAATTACCAATGCTCTTATCTTCTGCTTTGACATTTAGGATATCCCACTGAGTAGCCCTTGGTCAGAATGGTCTATGTTATATTTTATTTATATTGATTTCATTACTAACTCATTTATTGATTTAGTGTCTCTAGCCAACTAATTACTATTCCAAGTTTTAAACTATGGTTCTACCAACAATAATTCAAATAAACAATTATTATTAATTCTTGCTCAAAAAAATTAATTTTTTTTTTTAGTTTTTTATTTTCTGTTATTCAAGATTAATGATAATACACTTGTGAGCAGCTTCTTGTTTCTTCTCTTCTCCCAGCCAGCTAATGTAACATCAGAACAACATTTTCTCTGCCTTAATATAATAATTTTAGGATCGCAATTAATCATGTTATTATTATTAATTGAATCGAGATATTTCATTTCTCTACATATATTTTATGTTTAAATATATTTTTAGCCTCTAAATTTAAGTTAAATTTATTTTTAATTACTCAAATTTAAAATTATTATTTTTAATTCTTATAATTTAAAAAAAATGTTTGTCCCTCAAGTCACTAATAATATATATATATAT